ACCCTGTAGAACAACTGCAGACCTTTAGAGCCAGTTACATTCCTAATGCTTCCATTTACTTTTTCAAAGCCTTAAACCATTGATGGTTGACATGATGAATGTCACTGCTGCAGAGAAACCAATTCAGTGCTTTACACACTCAATATATGCAATATTTATGAAACTTATAATGTAGGGAACCTTTACTGTGCAATACTGCTATCTGCTAAAGTTTTCAAGATAGTTCTTAAAAAGTAGTTCTGATGGATGCACTCTTTTTTCAAGGTTAAAATATCAGGAGAAAATAGTTATAAATTTAAACTAATAGCAGTGCTCAGGAAAGTGATGGACAACAGCATTCATTGATCACAGTTAGCGTCATCCATAGTTTTGCTGAAGTCAACAGGATTAATTTCTTTGATTTTAGCAAGGCCTGATCCTGGAATTGAAAATAAAGTTTCCATTGACTTGAACTAGTGTTAGGCTTGACCTATACTACAGGTATTTTTTTATAAGTACCTCATACAAACTGATGAATTAGTTTCATTCTGAAACTGGAATAGACTCTTCAGATGTATTACAAATCACCCACTAGTGTCCTGAAATACTGCGAGTCATAGTGTGTTTACATGGGATATACTTCAATGGGAGACCCTCACACATCACGTCAGTTTGGACTTACCTAATTGACTCCAAGGCAACAGAGATGAGTTACCAATGCTGGGCCTTTCTGTGCCACTATCCCACGTTGGAACACCTTGGAAATGAAAGCAGAAATAAAAATGTTTGTTTTACAGATTTCCAAGATTCAAAAAACTTCTTTGCTTTGCTTTAAATCTGCAATTTCAGAGCTCTTGGTACCAGGCTGAAAGGCACAGGAAACTTCTGATCCCTCTTTTCCATATCTACATTTACAGCCAACTTAGAAACCTTTGGACAGAAGTGTTTATGAAGAAACTATTGGCACGCCTTTACCCAACAACAGAAACTCCACTGCTGCAGCACTTACACATCCAGCAGAAGTGGAAGTCATTCTCATTCTATTTGTAAATCAGCCACATGTAGGAACAATACTTCTTAGTGAAATGTAGAAAATAAAATAGGGTTTGAAGTTACTCAGTGTCTCTGGACATGAGAGTGGTATAGGAAAAGAGGCCAAGCACAACAGTATGATTCCTTTGAAACTCTTCTGCTTTTTGGAGTTAATTAAAAGTTGCCCGAGAGATTTTCCTCTCCTTTTTTCCCCCATGTGTCTCATCTTGAGCCTATATGGCAGGTGTTGTGGAGCAAGTCTCAGCAGCACCCACTGGATACTCTTACTTCCTTGCATTTGCACGTATAACTTAATATCTTTTAAACAGCGATAGCAGATGGGAAAGACTCTGACTTGGGAGATAGCAGAGCAACTAAAATTACTGGACTGTATGTAAACAACATGAATTGACTGTCAGTAGCCTCCCCTAGAACAGATTTAGAAGAAACACATACATATTTTTGTGTGCATGTAAATGAAGGAGTTTCTGTCAAGACGGTAGATTTGTCTCCTTCAGTATAGGACTGAATCAAGTCTGTCGTCAGACCACAGCATGTGTCGTACAGCTGCCTAGTAGGGTCACTTTGTGGTCCTGTGTCCTCGTTCCTAACTCTCATGGGGTCAGTTCATGTCTCGTCATCCTTCCTCTTCCTGACCCATGCTGAGGAGGGCAATGAGAGCCACAGGCAGGATCTCTGTACTCATGTTCCCTCCTGTTGACCTTGGTGTTGAGGCAGTGAACGTTTGGTCAGCACATTAAGCAGGGGCTCGACACAATACTGAGTTGGTGGAGAGGGGAGAGAGTGAGTTTCTCAGAGCATTGTGTAAAAGCTAGACTAGATATTACTGCATTAGCTCTATTTCCAACATGTTTAGCTTTCTTCAGCAACTAAAAGAGCTGAAAACTTACAGCTTCAAAAACTGAGATGCTATCATATATGTGACTACAAAAGCCTAGAGCCTCCAGTGCATATGCTTAAGCCAAACCTGTTTTCTAAGAAATAATTCAGATGCTCTTCTGCAGAACTTCTTGTGCCCTAGGGAGAACACAGACAGAAGCCCCTTGGGAACACGTTCTTGTGCAGTAAGCGCTTGAGGTGTTGAAATAGTAGATTTAACCAGTGAAATTAAGAATTAACCAGTATCCTTTTAACCATGCTAAATACTAGTTTGCTTGCTGCCCATGAAGTGAAAGAGTGTTTCCTCGTCATTTTAACAATGCAAACACTGATTATCTTGCAATTAAGATATCAATACAATCTTAATAACAAAGATTGAGTCATGAGTAATAAATAGGTACTTGGTAATACAGCATAAGCACGCATAATGGCAGTTATTGATGGTCATCTTGCAATTCCCTACGATCAGTTTACACAGGAAACACAGACCTGTGTTCATTATGAAGTAAGAGTTTTCTCGACTGGAAAGCAAAAATAAGCTTCCAAAATGAAAGTCTGTTTTTTAAAGTTCTGTTATGTTTTATGAGGTATCCATGTTACTGTAACTAATGTATCGCCTGATCAAGTAACATAACTACCAGGGGCGTGAATACCACAACATTTTGGGTAAACAACAAGGAAATAACTTTCTCATTAGTGTGCTCTTTGATTTGTTTGCTACATAATTATGACTTGTCATATGATACAGATTGATGCATACTTCAAAGAGCATACGAAACAAAAAATACTGTTATCATTTTACTCTTGTGGGATACAGTGCTGAAGTACCGAGCTAGAAACACTTAGACTGGACATAGAAAAATACATTACAGATATTAACCTTTCAGAGGGTTTTCAATTCTGACTTTTCTTTAAATAAAAAAAGCTTTTACATATTATTCTGCTTGAGGACAGAATGCAGATTTTGCCCTGGATGTTTTAGTCACTGCTGTAGGTATCAATACGGTCCTATGAGTAGTGAGTCAATGCAACCAGCATGTTAGAATTATTTTACCATGTATTCAGTTAACTCTGTCAAGCAGGCATAATAAAAGGTTTAATATTAGTTCCACGTAAAAAGAGGTTTTCTTTTTATTTTTTTCTAGATTATCTTACCAGGTGAAAATCAATAATATTTCACCAGAGGTTCTTTAGGGGAGTGGGTGGGGAGGACAAGGCTGTTCCCTTTGGGTAATGGTATGTGTCCACAGTGAGAACCCTGTGCTTTTCAAACTCCTCGCCTGAGGCTTCTACCAGAGTTGCAAGGGATTTCAAATTCCTTCCATTTTTAATTGCCAGGAAAAGTGTTTCTCACATGCAAAAATTATCTCTCATGCTATCTTGTGTGTTTGTGAATACATTCTTCCACTGTTGACATTGGGAATTCTGTAAATACAGAAAGAGAAGTGAGCCAAGTTCTGCCATGGAGACCTTAGAGGAGAATTTGATTCTTCAAGTACTCCCTTACTCAAATATTTGAATAGAAATATCATGTAATGTGTACTCAGGAAACACTGTATTGATTTCAGTAGGTGTCATGCAGGACTGTAAGCAATCATGTAGAAAAATAAACTTATTTTTGGAGATGACATCTTCAGAATTGCTTTCTGGTATGTCAGGAATCACTTTGCTATGACTGCAGTTGATGTTTCAAGTAAAAATAATAGTCTATACATAAGTCTGGTGAGGAGCAGAAATAAAATTCCAGACTCTGTCTGTATGTGACAGAAAAGCACAAAGAGAAAAATTATAAAGACAGATAAACAATGTGCAACCTGTCTACAATACTGTTATAATTGGCTCATTAATAATCCTGTTAGGAATGCTAGTTCACTCTGTAACACGGGTTGAATAAATTTTGTTTGTAATTTACTGCACAG